CCATCCATCCATCGTCAAACCGCTTATCCTGCACATAGGGTCGCGGGGGGGCTGGAGTCCATCCCAGCCAACTTCGGGCGAGAGACAGGGTACATCCTGGATTGGTCGCCAGCCAATCGCAGGGCTACACAGAGACATACAACCATTCACACTCACATTCACACATCTACGGGCAATTTAGAGTCCCCAATCAACCTGATCCCCAGAGCATGTCTTTGGACTGTGGGAGGAAGCCGGAGAACCCGGAGAGAACCCACGCAGACACGGGGAGAACATGCAGACTCTACACAGAAAGGCCACTGGGCGGAATCGAACCCAGGACCTTCTTGCTGTGAGGCAACAGTGCTGACCACCACGCCACCGTGCCGCCCCAAATAGATAACATAACATTGTCAATTTTTTGTACCTGGTATTAAAGTAGTCTAAAAGTGAAAACGCAACAAATGTCATACTCACCTACACCCGCAACACCCTCCAACATCGTAATCACCCAAAGAATCATGCTGTCTTCTCTCTGCTGGCCCTGTGATAGTCAGTGTCAATGCGTGCGTCTCTTCTCGTTCATCCCGAGGGGGGAGGCCGTCTTTTAAGAGGCACCTCTTATCTGCACGTGTGGTTTTGTCGTGTCGGTCCGGCTCACCTTGACCTTTTGCTCCCCGCGTCCACGGACAAGTCCATCCTCCCATTGTTTCAAACGGTAGGGCGCTCACACTGTCCTCCCTCCATCCTCACACAACCTTAAACTAAACCACACATAATACATTGTTTTTTCTTCCCATCAGGCTGTGAACATTTTAGATTTTTCTGTGGAGGACTAAACCAATCTGATAAATCTTTAGTGTCATGCTGTGTGTTCAAGGACACAGCGCTGATGTTTAGTTCACTCAGCAAGTATCTGAGAGTAAAGTAAATATGTTCTCATTTAGCTAATGGCTTGACCTCTGATATTTGCCAGTCAGTATCTGCAGCTTGGCCCTTTTCATTAAGAAAGTACCCAAACTGACCTGATGCTTGGAGGTTTTCTTTCTCATTATGGAATTAAATCAATGGAAACATAAATACACTGGGCTGTTTGATAGAAATGAGGTTGAACATGTCGTTGTTCTTCTAGGATTACTCCTAATAAAATCAAACATGCTTAGCCACTAATCTTTTCAATTATATTGATGTTGTTTAGGTTTGTTTTACTGCTAATTGGACCGGTTTCTTATTGGGTTTTTTGTAATGAATGAATGTGTGTTCATAGCACTTTTCCTCTTGCACTACCTGCAGTTTTAACTCTTATGAAGGTGAAAAGTCTATACATCCTCAGGATGAATATGATGACCATCGGTGAACCCCTCACTTTTTTATTGTGCATCAAGTTGAAATCTAGCATATATTTTGGTTTCTATCAAAAACCTGCAAAACGAATGACCTTCCCATCAACCCAAGCTTTACTCTGTGTTCACTGCCGCTGGCATAGCGCAGCCGGCTTCGTAAGATTTCTCCATGTTTCGTGATCAAATATTTTTAAATGTTAAAAAACTAAATTAGCGTTTAATTTTGCAAAAAAAAACCAACCTTTCGATTGTATAACCATCAGAATCAGAAGCCATGTTCCTAATGTAGACAGACAATTTATCTTCTCAGGTCTATCTCTTAGGATGTCCTGTACAGGAAGAGCTGGAGGCCAAGGAAAGCCGGAGGAGGTGGTTCGACCTTAAAATCCTGCTTCTTGTGAACTCGTGTAGTATATTCATTAATCTCCTCATATCCAGTGAGAACAGAAGCGCCAACTGGACCACTGGTTCCAAAACCTGGATACTGATTTTATTGATAATTGAATTACATTTCTCTTTTATACATATTTCATAAATGGTACAGGATTTTACATGTTTCTTTTTCGCCAACATTAGAGCATCATGTCAAACAGAAGAAAAACAGACAATAAAAACAAAAAAAGAGGTCAGATCGGAGTACAAGATAATTTTCAAACCTATATTCTGCTTCACTCTTTAGGCATTTTAAAACATCTTATTGTAAGTGCACAAACGAGATATTCAAAACCTAAACACACATTCAAAAAACATAATAATAATATCGCTTTGGAGAAAAAAAGGCTGACAGTGGATGAAAATGCCGTGAGACAGGGACGAGAATTGGAGGTGTTCCCCGATAAGCTAACAGAGGTCCTGAGAACTACTCCCTTAGAAATGCACCCAGGATGGAGTTTTTTTCCCCCATTTATTGGGGAGTATAAATGCAGGCTGAGGGAGGGGATCACGGGAGGAAATAAGGTGAAGGCGCGAGTGAGCAAGGTTTGAGCAGTTGGTTGGCTGGGATTTGGGTTGGATTTGGCAGAGCAGATCCTAAAGACGCAGCCCTGTCCACTGCCCTTCAGAACTACGAATCTCTACAAACAACGTTCTGAAATGATCTTTGCAGGTTTTTTTCTTCTTTTTTCTCATAAATCATCTTTTCTATTTTCACATAATTTCCCATGTAGACATACATTCATGCAACACCCTCTGTATAATAAAGTTTCCCTATATTTGATATATTTCATTTTAAGTAAACAAGAAAAACAAAGGCAATAAACGGTGGATGGCGTGATCAAAAGGAGGAGGTGATGATGGAGAAAAGTGTCGTATAGGAACAGCAGAGGGGAGGATCTCTCACCTGCCACATTACCACAAATGCCACAATGTGTGTGTGTGTGTGTGTGTGTGCGTGCAGGTAAAATAGCATATTTTGGGAAAAACCCATGACTTCTATAGAGCGATCCCACTATTGACAGTCAGGAAATCAGGGCAAAGGAATTGTGAATATGGAGATATGAACTTTGTCCCACTTGTCAGCACGTGGATTTGACAAACACACGCGTTCACAGACAAACCAGCGAGATTGATTCTCACCTCCACTCAAATTTAAACCTTCTCAATACGAAGGTGTCGTTCCAAATAGGAGATTAACTTTCTCAATGATCTCATCATTGCTTATTACTGATTTGCTACATTGTTGATACTTTTTAAATCACTAATCAATCAAAAAGGCACAATCGAAAGTCTCCCTTGGAGACAAAACGCACGCACACACACACACACACGCTAACAGAATAGACTAAATCCAGCCTTGAGATCTGCATGGCTAACTTTTGATTTGAACTAAAATCATGCATTATAATTGAAAATCTGCAGTTAAACACATTGATCTCTTCAGTGGGATTCAGTCAGACTTCACATGAGACACGAGCAGGATCTTGAACCATGTTTATTGGCATCTGGTGATTGTACTTCCTCCCTGCAGAGGTAAACTACAGCGGTTCAGAGTGAGAACCACTGACTTTAAGAGCTCCTTTTTTTGGAGACATAAATGGGGCTGAGAAGAGAAAAGTAAGTAAAGCTGACGTACGTTCCTTATGAACCTCTTCTTCTACCTCTAACGTATGGAGAGGATGAGATTCAGCTAGATGTGGCAAAGTGTCCAGCGAAGTACAAAATTGCAATAATTCTCCTAAACATTCACAAACGTCTACTAAGGGCATCCAACAGCATGCAGTCTACCCTGCCTGGCCATCGGGGGAGCAGTGGAGGGGGGGGGGGGCATTAAAGCACCAGTAGGAGGAGGAGGAAGCTTAAAAAAGCCTCTGTGGATTAAATCCATGACCATTTTTTTAAAGTGTAGTCTTTTGTGATTTTATCTAGGGGTAATTGTAGAACATAAAAACCTCACTTGTTGAATTGCACATTACATGCGGTTATGATAATGGCTGAAAATCTGGATTGGAGAAATACAAAAAATATGATATTAGGAAAAAAAAGGAATATTGAACCGCAGGCAATTATCTCAAATGATGCTCTTGTTGTAAGTAAACGATATCTAACATAATAATAATGACTGCGCATTTTGAACACGTCATTATGTAAAGCATTTTCTGCAGCAATCGTATTCATGAGGTAATTATCGAGGGCAAGGAACGCCGCTTTCTGCCTTGTTAGAATCCAATCAAAGCCAGTTTCTCCTTGAATCGGGTTCAACATCGTTTCCCCTCCTGTGGTGGCCATTCACAGGAGCCGTCGATCCTACCTGGACGCAGTTACTGTGGAATACATCGTGTGTGTGTCTGACAAGATATGCAATAGGTATAAATGCATTCATTGTAATGCCATTTGTGTGTGCGCGCACGTTGGATGTTTGGAGGATGTTGATTGATGAAAGGATGTTAGTAAGAGAACCCCCCCCCCCCCCCCCCACGGGGAAAAAAAAAAAACAAAATAACCTCTGGGCCTCCGGTATTTGATAGTAAACATATATAATTTATATTCCTTTCCAAACAAAAATACTATGGGCTTTTAAAAATAAAAAGTGCCAAAATATTTTTTTTTGGAATAAAAGAACACACAGTGATGTTGTTGTCGGTAGTACTCTCATACTTGCGCAGACCGGGCCGCTACAGGACGTCAACAGGAAGAGGAAGCGGGGCCTCGCCTCACTATCCTGCGAGTCGAGTCAGGCTCCTGACAAGGGAGGGGGGGGGGGGGGGGGCGCAGGGCAGCTGTCCGTCACCTGGCACAGGCGTGGCCGAGGGAGGGAGGGAGGGAGGGAGGGAGGGAGGGAGAGGCAGCAGGGTTCAGCCACAGGAAGACGAAAGTCCCCCTGATGGTGCAACTGCAGTCAGGACTTTCTTGTAAACTTTGAGAAAAGAACGGCTTTCTAGATCTCTGTCCCTACACAACATTAGGAGTGTGTGTGTGTGTGTGTGTGTGTGTGTGTGTTGACAGTTGGACTGCTGGAGAAAGCAGGAATACACCCCTGAAAGTTCACACAGACACACACACACACACACACACACACACACACACACACACACACACACACACACACACCCCAGTGACTGCCCCTCTGCAGGTCCTCGGCTCTGGAGTGTCTAGACGAGGGATAATTCCTGTTTGTCCCCTCAAATTCCCTGCAGGCTGTCCCTCCGGGGACGTGCGGCATATCCATAGAAGCCCATGTCCTTCGTCATCATTGTCCTTTTCATCATACTCACCATCCTTGGGCTGTAAAAGTTTTTCAGTTCCCGGTACTCTCCCCATCTTTACATTTGTCTTTTAGCGGTTTTCAATTGCAATTCCAACTGGAGTTTTCAGTCAGGAAAGTAAAAAGAAAAAAAAAGGGAAAGAAAGAGGAGGGAAAACTAACTCCCACAGTCCAAAAAAGGGATGGGTTTATTTGGTGTGGGCGCAATGGGGGAGGGAGGAGTCTTAGCAAAGAGTTGGGGGCAAACAGGGGTGGAAGGGGTGTTGCACAGAGGAGGGAAAAATGGTTGCAGGAGTAGAGAGTGGAGGAAGTCGCTCCTCCCATCAATTTTTACTGGCGCCGAGCTGCTGAACTGGGAGCTGGAGCTGGAGCGGGTCCCGAAGACGCTTCAGATCCAACTCCACCTGGAGAGCGTTCACAGAGGGAGTAGAGTTCAGAGTGTGAGTGAAGTAACGTGTGCGGTGGTCCATGCGAAACTAAATCTCTGTAAAGCCGTTGTGAATCAAAGCACAGAACTGTAAAGAGTAACAATGCGCCGTGTGGCCGCGGTGCTTATTTTACATCACAAAACGTCCCGCTGTGAAGCGAGCGGCTGTACCTCAGCGATATCACCCTTCAGCTGGTTGTACTTGTCGATGTCGAAGCGTGTCCTCTTCGCACCCTTGTGGAAGAACAGCAGGTACTGTCGGTCTCTGGCGTCGGGGTAAACGTACTCCTGCAGGTCATGCGGGGAACACAGACGATTTGATCACATATCGGTTATATATTTCTGTTCGGTGGGTCGAATCCCAACTGTATGAAATGTAATGTCAAATGGACCAGATATAAAAGCTACAGTTCATTTATGAATGATGAACCTTGTGCCTGGACAAGACAAAACGAACAAAATGCGTCGCAAAGACGGGAGCAAATCGTATTTAATCACTGTAATGCTTTGTTGCCTGGTTGCTAAAAGAGTTTGATGTTATTGAGTAGGAAAATACCCCCCCCCCCCCCCCGAAAAACAATGGGTTTTGTTTTTAGGGAAAAAAAAAAAAAAAACATGAGTTTTCCTCCCCGGAGGGAGGGTATTAGCATGATTTATACGATAGCTCTATGATCATTCAGCTAAGCCATTAGGATAAATAATGGCATTTAAATGTCAGAATTCTTATTTTTCTCTTACCCACAATGCGAAAATAATCAATAATTCCTCACGAGAGAAGCTGGAAAATCCTTATATTTAAAAGCGTGAGCTACAGAAGGGTGATCTGCTTTAACGAATAATTTACTATCTCACGTGTGATTTTTATTGATCAACTAATCGTGTCAGCCCTAACCCACACCGCAGCAGAAGATTTCTTCTTAAACTCAAACACGAATTAATGCACGTGTACTTGTCTACTTGTTGCGTTTTCGCCACATCTTACCTGGCGTGTTAGAACAAAGTAGGCGTACATGGCCATGGCCGTGCCATAAGTGATAAAGTAGGTGACGGGCTCCATGATGTCCCAGGAGTACTCCCACCAGGTGAGCCTGGCCAGGATGCCGAACTGGGTGGCCATGTACGCCATGCCGCCCCACAGCACCCAGGTGGTACGCCGCTCTGCCTTCCTATTAAGTTCCTCCTTCACCTGACAACACAAGCCGCCGGTAAAAAAAAATAAAAAAATGTTGCACGGTCTTTAATACAAAAAATGTATATATATATATATATATATATATATATATATATATATATATATATATATATTCTGTCGGCAGATAAGAGTTTCAAATATCAAAATTCTGAGCAACAAAATTCTGAGCAACAACAGCTCCACTTGGATTCCACGAAAAGCATCCAACAACATGCAACTTATTCATTTGCAATTCACTTATGTTTTACTGTTCTACCATCCATCAGTCACTTGGTTGGCTGGTTAAACATCTTTGCAATGGTTGGTGGGTCTAGATAAGAGCAGCAATGAAACAGGACCAACGACCAAAATGTCAGTTCGTTCAAAGGAAGTGGACCTTTTCCAAGGGGCGGAGTTGAGAGTTGAGGTCCTCCAATCGTCCAATCAGCTCACGTTCCTTGCCGAGTTGGTGCTCCTCGATGCGCAGGGTGGTGTAGAGCTGCTGCACCAGGAACTTGACGTCGTTGAGCCTTTCGGCCTCCTCGTGGGGCAGCAGGTCTGAAGCACACGCATAGGCCAACCAACAAAAACCATCAACCCGCTGCCAATAAAACCGATTCTCTCAATCTCTTTGGCAGTGACCCCCAACTGTGAGGAAACGACTCAAGCAAACAGCGACGGCCTTTTTCTTTGCCGACCCTCACCTCTCCTCGGGGGCTGCACGAGGTGTGTGGTGTCATTGATGACGAGCTTGAAATCATCCAGCAGCAGGATGTCGATGCCCGTTGACGAGGCGACCCTCGCTCCATCTGGAGAGAGTGACAAAATTCAAGTGTGTGTGAGAGGGGAAGGGTGGGGGGGGGGGTGCGATGGCTCACTGATACGCAGCCACTTCGAATAGCGTTGAAGTCTCTGACGCCATCTGTCACAAGCTACCAGTTTGTTCCTGAATAATAAACCCTACTTGCCGAGAAGCAGGTTACAAAATAAAATCCCCTTAAATGATGCGCGCAGTGACATTGGATTCTGATCTCACTTAACAGCAGTGACAAACAAGAACACTTGAAAGCATGTGTGTGTAAAGCGCCTGTGTGTGTGTGTGTGTGTGTGTGTGTGTGCGCACACGGTACCCGTGGAGTAGATGGCTACCCGGTCGATGCCTCGGTCCTCCGCCTGCAGCTGTTGCAGGAAAACTCCCACGCAGTCACTGAGAGGCTTGAGGGTGAACTGGCAGCGCTCTCGCCGGGACGGCAAACGGACCGAGATCACCGGCAGCCCGTTCTGATACACCACTGTCACCTCTGTGAGGAGGGAGGGGAACAAATGTCACACAGTTGAGAAAAATGAGAAATGACACAGCGACGTCTCGCCTGAACTACGGCGATGAATTACTTAATAACGCCGACGCTGCAGAGGGTGATACTGTGATGGGGACACATATGTTAGTGTTGTTTGAGACCCAGCAGGGGGCAGTGCAATAAAAGAGCTCCACAACTAAGCTGCGCTTAGTTTTTTTATTTTTTATGACAGACTTTAAATTAAACTGCAGTGTCTGCAAAGAGGAACTACTACCATTTATAAATGTGTCATGAATTCTGATTCAACCAATTGACTAATTCATATTCAGACACAGAAACACACTGATGGCGGTTAATTGCAAAACTAAATCCACTCTTGGGGGTCTGAAGATTAACACAGTAAAATCTTGCTACGGTTTTCCTCACAGAATTACGTGACTTTGTTTGTTATTGGCGACAATTGACAGCTCTTATTCCCGCGGAGAAGTTAGAGGGATGATTGCGTGGTGCCGGTTTATTGTGCTCCAGAGTTTCCAGCTGTTCTCTTCGTGTCCCAAAGCGCTGAGCCACTGATCCTCTGACTCCTCTAGCGTTTCTTCCTCTAGCATACGCACGACGCTCAGTGATTCTGCTCTTTTTGGAAACCAAACTCTGGCCAGAATGAGGCTGCACAGCTTGTATTATTTCCATGGCGAGGGGCCCCTAACGTCAGAGCCTCAACGCTGGGAGCCCACTGCCCCCCCCGCAGTCAATCAGCAGAAGTCCGCCTCTTGGCCGCGATTGAAAAGTCAAGGAGGGCGCAGACGTTTTATTTCACAGCCACTTCTCAAATTGAAACCTCGTCCTGAGGCGTCGTAGCCGTTACCGCACCTGGTCCCCTTTGTCCCCCCGCTACCCCGTCATCGCAGGCGCATCGGCGAAAGCGTCTTTCCCCCCAAAAAAAGAAGGATCCGCTTCCCGTCCGGCGGCTGTCAAGGCCCACTCTCAAGTCCCATCCCGCCTCCTCCTCCCTCCCCCTCTCCCCCCGTCCTTCTGTTCAGCTCACGCTCTCCGCCTCGGCCGCCTCTCACCCAGACGAGCGGTTGCTTCCCCGAGACGGATTCCACGTTAATGACTTCCGACTGTTCATTTCAAATGAGCCTCCTGATCAATGCGGCGATTCCCCTCAAGCGCAGAGCGCATTTGTCTCAAGACGAGGAGCTGGATTTGGGGAAAGCCGTATGGACAGAAATAAAGTGGAGGCAAGGACTTACCCTGGGGGGCAGTGGAGGAACACAAGAGTCTCTGGCCGTGCCAAGAGGGGGCGCTCCTCCAGACCTGCAGACGGGGAGACAAACACAGAGGTTACTCCATTTCAACAGCTCTTTCTCCACTAATGTTTCCGTTCTTTTACGTGTGAGCCAACGTGTGACACTTAGCAACATGACACCAGCCCACTCGATGCCATTCACTTCTTTTATCTTTCGCAAGACTGAGCACAGGTTCTTGTTACAAAATGGCTTCCTCTGTTCCAGTTTGAATGATCCGATATGTATAAAAAAAATAAAAAAGGCCCGGCAGCCACACCCATGACGCACGTTTCAACTGCAGCTTCCTGCTCACGGAAAGACTTTACAAACGGTATGACGGGTTGAAAAATCACACACCTTAACACACCCTTTCTAAGAAAACCACACTACTACAGGGAAACAACCACAGAGGGAGACACGGGCCGAGTGCAGCCGGTCTAACAGCATAGTTCAGCCTATGAATCCTCCACTTGTGTAACAGCCCGGGTGAGTGAGGGAGGGGGGACGAGCGGAGCAGCAGAGCTTGGGAAAACCCTGCTCCTTTTTTTTTTTTATTCTTTCTATTGCAACCCAGCAGCAGCAACGCGTCTCGAATTACAGAGCTCGTCATGTTTTCTGCCGAGTGGCGATGGAGCCTTTTTTGACGGATCTGCTCTCACAGCGATTGGTGGCGTGAGGACAAGGCATCGCAAAGCAAGCGAGCCAAGAGGCCCGAGAGCAAGCGGCATCTCATCCTGCCGCCGGTCGGGAACAAAAGGCTTCGTTTCTCTGCCGACCGTTTGTGACGCTGTAGCGTCTTCGTATACGGCACGTTCGCCTCATGAGTGTGAAGCGCACGCACACGCACACGCACACACACACACACACACACACACACACACACACACACACACACACACACACACACCTGTACACGGTAAATGCTTTTCAATCAGACCTGTAACAACTGTGGTAAATATCAGATTGACGGTGTGATCGAGGCTCGGACAGAAAGCCAGCGTTTTGTTCCAGCGGACCTGGACAACCACAGCCGCCAATCAAGCCTCTTTTGATTAAACGTCAAGCTGTCAATCACAGTCTGCGCGGACCGCAGCGACGACGTGTGGAAGGAAGGACTGAACGCAAACAATGACGGACGCCCACCACTGACACTTACTTACTACCCGACTGGACGTTGCTGCGAGCGTCAATAGTCGACCATCACCGACATGAATTAGTGATGAGGTGCTAACCAGCTCACCACTGCAAGGACTCTCCTCCACGCAGAGGCTCAGTGGGGGTCCACAGATGGATGCCTCGCAGAGTCTTACACGGGTAGACCCCCGAGAGCCAATAAAAAGAACCTCCTCGTACGAGTTAGAAAGCTTTCATGGAAAGTATCTGTCACCACTGCAGCAGTGATGCAGTTCCACTGTGAACCGAGCAAAGATGACAGACAGGTGTGTGTGTGTGTGTGTGTGTGTGTCCACTGTTTGGACTGCTGATCAGGTGACCTGCTGCACGGTCCGCCGACGGCGGCAGCACGAGATCTGCATCGCTCAGACACCAAACTTTTCAGCTGCTCGAAGACCCCCCCCCCCCCCACGCAACACACGCCCACGCTCTCCCGATCGGGGATTACGCCCGTTAGCAAATGTGACACCGGCAGCAATTAACATTCATCTGCGGAGAGGCGTGTGTGAATGTACCTCTGTGTGTTTGCAGGAGGTGTGTGTGTGTGTGTGTGTGTGTGAGTCCACCCGTCTGTTCACCCGTCTGTTTGTCAGCGGTAGTTGCGGAGCGACTGAGCAAAGCCCCCTCCCCCCCCCTTCTCCCCCCCTCTCCCCCGGCACACAAGCCTCTGACATGCTGCCTGAAATATTTAACAGTGGAGCCGCAGTCAATAGCACAGCAACCTAAGAATCAATGTCATACAGGGCATCACAGGCAGTGGAAGGAAGAGACGGGCATGGACGGGAAGATGGACAGATGAGTTGCGGGGGAGAGAAAGGAGGTGTGGGGGAGAGAGGATGCCAGGATAAATGGAGCGGCAGCAGGGGAGCGATCGAGATAAATGAAGGCTGGAGTAAAGCGGTGTGAGCTTGCATTTCTAACCATGTGCTGCATCTACAGTACGCTGCTGCAGCAGACAAATGCCCCCCCCCAACCGAAACGTGACTGTACTGTGTGTTTGAAGCGGGGTGAGGGGTGGAGACAGAGAGAGAGAGAGGACGAAGGGAGACAGAGGGAGGAAAAAGAGGGAGTGAGAGATAAAAAAAAGGGAAAGCTGGGAGTATGTTGAAAAGCAGCGAGAGGAGAGGAGCAGTAGACCCGCTCAGAGGGGGGGTGGTGGGGGGGGACATGGAGGGAGAGGATGAGGAGGAGGTCTAGGGGGGAGGACTGCTGATCGCTGCAGTAAAGGAATCCCTTGTCTAGAAAGGGGGGTTGCCCCTCTCCATCACCCCTCCCTCTCACACTGAATCCCGACGTGCTGGTTTTGATCTACTGATCTTCGGGCTCGTCGCGGCACACGCGTGTGCATTTAAAAAAAGAAAAGAAAAAAAGAACAATGAACGCGAGCTACGATTTCACATCTCGCTTTCAGCGCGCTAAATGCACGCCGAGCGGGAACACGATACGCGACAGAGTGGGATGTGAAAGTAGATTTGATACGCTGGCCCCTGCGCAGCAGGCCGCGTGCTTCCTGCGTAACGCAGCAACGCGCACGAGAGGCGCGGCATCGATCCGCCGTTAGGATTAATCATCCTCATGCATCACAGCAGTAACAATCTCACAAAGATGTTCCCGGTATCGAGCGGAGGAAAGAAGAAGTCCACGCGCTCGGGAGGGAATCCGCGTTTGAAAGCGAAAGGCGCTGCAGCCCTTCCTGCTATCGATGTCTCCCTTCTGTGCAAACGGTTCCCTTTTTCTGTGGTGGAGCAAAGCAACGTAATTAAATCCTCTGCCTTCATTTCAGTCAGGATTATGTAAGCGAAACAATTTGAGAGATTTATTAGGCCCTTCCTCCTGTTGCAGGGCCCTTTTTGAATCAAAAAAATGAAATAAAAATGAATATTCGAGCTGTTGAGATGCAGCTGTGTCGATTTCAACTGAACGTAGATTGAATGTTACATATTGATAATGAGTGGATAATAAAGCGGAGGGCTTCAGAGGATTGTACAGCATAGCATCGGATTGGATAGGGAAAGCCTCCCCCCTGTCGCACATCCCCAGGCAATGGCAGCAGTGCCTGCAGGGGGGGAAGTGGCCAACCTATGGTTGTCACTTGGCTTTGTTGCTAAGGCTGCATCCGAACACGAGATGACGCAGCAGTTTGAAGGTCTCCTCTTCCCCAGAACACATCAGTTTATCTCCAAAAAACACCACAGGGCAAGATCTGGAGGCCGAGCATTGCAGAACGTGTGTGCGTGTGTGTCTTACGGACACCAGAGCTGAGGAATATTATCGCTGACATAATTCCCATTTCATGGTGCCCCTCTGGGGAAGAGGAGCGCTCGGCCGTTTATCTACACAATGGCTGCTTCCATTCATGTGGCAGCGTGCCGTCCTGAGCCGGGCCGACGGGCCTGATAACACAAAGTCCTTCATGGATGCTCATATTCAATGTAAATAGATAACATGCCGTACACCGTTTCAAGGCATCGCGGCACACACGCGCATCTAATTCGTCTTATGACGCTTCAAGTTCAAAAGTCATGACGTAAGGACGGATTTACCATCAAAGAAGCTGGGATCAATTTGAAGTAGGCCACAAATAATAATCTGTGGAAACATCCCTTCATTCATTTTGATTAATAAAGTATGCAAATGTGGTTCATGAACTATGAAATTGGATGTAGAGTGAATCCGCTGTCACAGCTGGGAGAGACGTGTGTGGACAACGCGCTCATTCATTCATGTTTCTTTTGTATGCTTGTGCTTTGTTTCCTCTTACACAACAAGAGAGAGCTGGGACCATTAAAACAGCCTTTCAGAGCAACGTGTAGCCATTCTATGTTGTGTTTAGCATTTCAGCCAAAAGACGCTGCTTTAAAATGATTCAGATATTTTTCAGGTATCGGTTTGTTAAGTCTAAGTAAATTGTGAACATGTCCAGAACATTTTTCTCTTGAATAGGCTACTGGCCCGGGTTCCCTCGCACTGCGGTGGTGGGAAAAGGTGTCAAGCGAAAGGACCAAAACGCTGGATCGAGTCTTCCAAGGTGCACATTCTACGTGAGGGTCATAATGTCCATCTGCCCCGTCCACTCGGCTCCTCGCTGCCCACACTTCCCGCCTGCCGGGTTAACAAGGGCGAAAAAGCACAGCTGGCGCCCGTTCAAAGGCGCTCGCGATCCGCGCACAGCCGCACGCGCTCTCAGAAACGCAGCGCGCGGCCTCTCAGCTGTTGCTAAAGAAGAAAGGCGACCTGAGTATTGCGACATGAGGTAACACCTCAGCTGTAAGGAAGAAAAGAAAAGAAAGTCACTGGACACGTGGGCCCCTTCGGGCCATTTGGACCCTCAACCAGGCTGGAACCCGATGCATTATTAAACAGCAGTGCGGGCTTTGCGAGACGGCCGGGCGCTCTCGGCAAATCGTGCTCGACGGCTCCTTCGCCTCAGAAGGGGGGAAACGGTTCGGCATTTTCTGACCTCCTCGGGTTACTTTTGGGAAGAAAGCAGCGCACAATTTCAAAATGGCGTTAGCCTGTATAATGCTTGGACTGTGTGTATAGAATGTGTGTGTGTGTGTGTGTGGTCACCCTGCAGACCCCCCCTAGGGTTGCTCACACACCAGATGGCACTAGCTGCTTGTGTCGGAGTAAGTTTCACAGCAGGTGAGGCGTCACTCAGGACCTCAGCTACCCGAGCAGAGTGTGAAGGAACTTGCTCTCCTTTTTTTTTTGACCTTCATATCAAATATTTGATAGAGATCGAAGCACTGCATGCAAATCCAGCCTTTTTCACTAAGCATATCTCGGTCTACAGTGATGAAGCCTCATCACGTCGCACACCAACCACAGCTTTTATCATCCTCACTTTCCTCC